ACAACAACAACAACAACAACAACAACAACAACAACAACATGTACATACAATTGCATTGCCTGACGCACTGCTAACTACTGCTTCTGCTGCCTTCATCTACATATATGTAGGTGCAGACAGCGGGGCATGTGGATGTGCGCCTGCAGTATGCACAAGTTCCCACTGGCATCATACTGGTAAGAGTGGACAAACCTGATTCATGCGATACGTCACTTCCTGTCGCCAGGCCCAGGCCCTCACTTGGCGTTACTAAAAGGAAGAAAGCCATTGAAGACGGTGTGAATGCCAGACAAATTGCTATGCCTCGGCCAACAGCAACTGCCACAGCCACAACAACAACAACAACATCCTCATCAGCATCAGCATCAGCATCCAGCCCGACTGTCATATTTCCACCAAAATCCCACCTCATTACCTCTGCTCACTATGTGACAATCATGCAAGGCATACCTCAGTTGCACTTAGTAGACATTCGGCACAACCATCCTCATGCGCAATGCAACCGACCAATCCATCTCTAATCACACAATGCCCATCTCCTCACTGCTCCACGCACCTGCCGTTGCCGCTGCCGCTGCCGCTGCCGCTGCTGCTGCTGCTGCTGCACCTGATGCCTCATCCGGCTGCCGGCTGCCGGCTGCACAACCATCATGCGCACCTCGGTGATCTGCAATAGCATCGCCAAGGCCGCCAGCGCCGCATGTGCGGGCCACGTACTCTTTAATGTGCCACATACATGAATGCCTAATGCTACTGCGCATGCTGTCCGCACAGGCAGGTCTACCAATGCCTGCCAATCATGACTGCTCTGCCACATGTCCCAATTCACATGCGCATCATGGACTGCGCAAAGCAACAACAACAACATGTACATACATTTGCATTGCCTGACGCCCTGCTAACTACTGCTTCTGCTGCCTTCATCTACATATATGTAGGTGCAGACAGCGGGGCATGTAGATGTGCGCCTGCAGTATGCACAAATTCCCACTGGCATCATTCTGGTAAGAGTGGACAAACCTGATTCATGCGATACGTCACTTCCTGTCGCCAGGCCCAGGCCCTCACTTGGCGTTACTAAAAGGAAGAAAGCCATTGAAGACGGTGTGAATGCCAGACAAATTGCTATGCCTCGGCCAACAGCAACTGCCACAGCAACAACATCCTCATCAGCATCAGCATCCAGCCCGACTGTCATATTTCCACCACAATCCCACCTCATTACATCTGCTCACTGTGTGACAATCATGCAAGGCATACCTCAGTTGCACTTAGTAGACATTCGGCACAACCATCCTCATGCGCAATGCAACCGACCAATCCATCTCTAATCACACAATGCCCATCTCTTCACTGCTCCACGCACCTGCCGTTGCCGCTGCCGCTGCCGCTGCCGCTGACGCTGCCGCTGCTGCTGCTTCGGCTGCACCTGATGCCTCATCCGGCTGCCGGCTACCGGCTGCACAACCATCATGCCCACCTCGGTGATCTGCAATAGCATCGCCAAGGCCGCCAGCGCCGCATGTGCGGGCCACGTACTCCTTACTGTGCCACATACATGAATGCCTAATGCTACTGCGCATGCTGTCCGCACAGGCAGGTCTACCAATGCCTGCCAATCATGACTGCTCTGCCACATGTCCCAATTCACATGCGCATCATGGACTGCGCAAAGCAATAACAACATGTACGTACAATTCCATTCCCTGACGCACTGCTAACTACTGCTTCTACTGCCTTCATCTAAATATATGTAGGTGCAGACAGCGGGGCATGTGGATGTGCGCCTGCAGTATGCACAAGTTCCCACTGGCATCATACTGGTAAGAGTGGACAAACCTGATTCATGCGATACGTCACTGCCTGTCGCCAGGCCCAGGCCCTCACTTGGCGTTGCTAAATGGAAGAAAGCCATTGAAGACGGTGTGAATGCCAGACAAATTGCTATGCCTCGGCCAACAGCAACTGCCACAGCAACAACAACAACAACATCCTCATCAGCATCAGCATCAGCATTCAGCCCGACTGTCATATTTCCACCAAAATCCCACCTCATTACCTCTGCTCACTATGTGACAATCATGCAATGCATACCTCAGTTGCACTTAGTAGACATTCGGCACAACCATCCTCATGCGCAATGCAACCGACCAATCCATCTCTAATCACACAATGCCCATCTCCTCACTGCTCCACGCACCTGCCGTTGCCGCTGCCGCTGCCGCTGCCGCTGACGCTGCCGCTGCTGCTGCTTCGGCTGCACCTGATGCCTCATCCGGCTGCCGGCTGCCGGCTGCACAACCATCATGCCCACCTCGGTGATCTGCAATAGCATCGCCAAGGCCGCCAGCGCCGCATGTGCGGGCCACGTACTCCTTACTGTGCCACATACATGAATGCCTAATGCTACTGCGCATGCTGTCCGCACAGGCAGGTCTACCAATGCCTGCCAATCATGACTGCTCTGCCACATGTCCCAATTCACATGCGCATCATGGACTGCGCAAAGCAATAACAACATGTACGTACAATTCCATTCCCTGACGCACTGCTAACTACTGCTTCTACTGCCTTCATCTACATATATGTAGGTGCAGACAGCGGGGCATGTGGATGTGCGCCTGCAGTATGCACAAGTTCCCACTAGCATCATACTGGTAAGAGTGGACAAACCTGATTCATGCGATACGTCACTACCTGTCGCCAGGCCCAGGCCCTCACTTGGCGTTACTAAAAGGAAGAAAGCCATTGAAGACGGTGTGAATGCCACAGAAATTGCTATGCCTCGGCCAACAGCAACTGCCACAGCAACAACATCCTCATCAGCATCAGCATCCAGCCCGACTGTCATATTTCCACCACAATCCCACTTCATTACATCTGCTCACTATGTGACAATCATGCATGGCAAACCTCAGTTGCACTTAGTAGACATTCGGCACAACCATCCTCATGCGCAATGCAACCGACCAATCCATCTCTAATCACACAATCCCCATCTCCTCACTGCTCCACGCACCTGCCGTTGCCGCTGAGGCTGCCGCTGCCGCTGACGCTGCCGCTGCCGCTGCCGCTGCTGCTGCTTCGGCTGCACCTGATGCCTCATCCGGCTGCCGGCTGCCGGCTGCACAACCATCATGCCCACCTCGGTGATCTGCAATAGCATCGCCAAGGCCGCCAGCGCCGCATGTGCGGGCCACGTACTCCTTACTGTGCCACATACATGAATGCCTAATGCTACTGCGCATGCTGTCCGCACAGGCAGGTCTACCAATGCCTGCCAATCATGACTGCTCTGCCACATGTCCCAATTCACATGCGCATCATGGACTGCGCAAAGCAATAACAACAACAACAACAACAACAACAACATGTACTAACAATTGCATTGCCTGACGCACTGCTAACTACTGCTTCTGCTGCCTTCATCTACATATATGTAGGTGCAGACAGCGGGGCATGTAGATGTGCGCCTGCAGTATGCACAAATTCCCACTGGCATCATACTGGTAAGAGTGGACAAACCTGATTCATGCGATACGTCACTTCCTGTCGCCAGGCCCAGGCCCTCACTTGGCGTTACAAAAATGAAGAAAGACATTGAAGACGGTGTGAATGCCAGACAAATTGCTATGCCTCGGCCAACAGCAACTGCCACAGCAACAACATCCTCATCAGCATCAGCATCCAGCGCGACTGTCATATTTCCACCACAATCCCACCTAATTACATCTGCTCACTATGTGACAATCATGCAAGGCATACCTCAGTTGCACTTAGTAGACATTCGGTACAACCATCCTCATGCGCAATGCAACCGACCAATCCATCTCTAATCACACAATGCCCATCTCCTCACTGCTCCACGCACCTGCCGTTGCCGCTGCCGCTGCCGCTGCCGCTGACGCTGCCGCTGCTGCTGCTTCGGCTGCACCTGATGCCTCATCCGGCTGCCGGCTGCCGGCTGCACAACCATCATGCCCACCTCGGTGATCTGCAATAGCATCGCCAAGGCCGCCAGCGCCGCATGTGCGGGCCACGTACTCCTTACTGTGCCACATACATGAATGCCTAATGCTACTGCGCATGCTGTCCGCACAGACAGGTCTACCAATGCCTGCCAATCATGACTGCTCTGCCACATGTCCCAATTCACATGCGCATCATGGACTGCGCAAAGCAGCAACAACAACAACATGTACATACATTTGCATTGCCTGACGCCCTGCTAACTACTGCTTCTGCTGCCTTCATCTACATATATGTAGGTGCAGACAGCGGGGCATGTGGATGTGCGCCTGCAGTATGCACAAATTCCCACTGGCATCATACTGGTAAGAGTGGACAAACCTGATTCATGCGATACGTCACTTCCTGTCGCCAGGCCCAGGCCCTCACTTGGCGTTACTAAAAGGAAGAAAGCCATTGAAGACGGTGTGAATGCCAGACAAATTGCTATGCCTCGGCCAACAGCAACAGCAACAACAACAACATCCTCATCAGCATCAGCATCAGTATCCAGCCCGACTGTCATATTTCCACCACAATCCCACCTCATTACATCTGCTCACTATGTGACAATCATGCAAGGCATACCTCAGTTGCACTTAGTAGACATTCGGCACAACCATCCTCATGCGCAATGCAACCGACCAATCCATCTCTAATCACACAATGCCCATCTCCTCACTGCTCCACGCACCTGCCGTTGCCGCTGCCGCTGCCGCTGACGCTGCCGCTGCTGCTGCTACGGCTGCACCTGATGCCTCATCCGGCTGCCGGCTGCCGGCTGCACAACCATCATGCCCACCTCGGTGATCTGCAATAGCATCGCCAAGGCCGCCAGCGCCGCATGTGCGGGCCACGTACTCTTTACTGTGCCACATACATGAATGCCTAATGCTACTGCGCATGCTGTCCGCACAGGCAGGTCTACCAATGCCTGCCAATCATGACTGCTCTGCCACATGTCCCAATTCACATGCGCATCATG